CTGTGTTTGGCTAATGTCGAATCGCATGACAGGAGATTGACGAGGGCTGGGATGGCCCCTTGCTCGGCAACATAATGCTGACATTTTCTATCCGAAGGGTGTGTGAGAGGGATAAGAGCACCTGCAATATTCTCAGCCATGTTTGATGAGATGGCTGGCGAAGTGTTTGGGCTTGAACTGATCAGTGAGATCAAACCGGGTAACAAGTTTTCGTTTATGATCGCGTAGGGGAAACTGCTTAGGATCCCTACAGCAGAAGCTTTTTCTTCGACAGACGATGACGAATCAGAGAAAATCTTGGCAATAATATGTACATGACTTTCATCCAGTTGTTCTGTCATCATCATCTCCCCGTGCATGTTTTCAGAGAGAAGAATGTGGATTAGCCTTAAGGCACCAGTTCTGATCTTGGGATAGGTTTCAACCAGAAACGGTAATAGAAGCCGGATTGCACCATTTTCATTCATTCTCCTTCGTACATTGGAGCCATCTGAATGTGAAGTGATACTGTTGAGTGCTTCCAGGAGATGACACTGAATGACTGGGCTGGTCAGGTTCAGAAGGGAAAGCATCTTTTGAGCAATATCCGGCTTCACTAACAAACCCCCTTCTGATTGGGCAATTCTTGCAAGAATCGCAGATGCTGGTTCTCTCAGAGTCATGAGGATCGACGTGACAGAGAACAGAAGCTGAAGAAGGGTCAACACCACCCCCGAATTCACCAGGCGTTCGACATTCGCTTTCAAGCCATAGAGATTTTGCAGTGCGCTAAGAGCCGATTGCTTAGACTCAAAATTCCCTTTGCTGAACATTTTTACTAGTGATTCGACCGCTCCATCTTCTCCTAGCAAAGCTCTACTTTTATCCGTGAGGGTCATTCTCGATAGAGCTGTTGCCACTTGGACCCTATTCCTCATGTCAGAACCTGTGTCAAGAAAGATCGATTACTATTGAGACATCGGTTTTATTCTGTTAAGTTGGAAAAACAGAGTTGAATGTTGAAAAAAACTGAAAGAAGCAGAAGAACCAACCTTCTTTGAGGTAGCGCACAAGAGGCTTGAAGTAACCAGCTTCGGCAATGTGAATAGCATACTGAATGTTGGTTGCGAGGGAATCCAGAAGATTTCCCGCATCATTGGAAGCCGCTGCGTCATCACCATTGAAAATGGCAACCAACATAACAATGAAGCCCGGGATTCTGCCAAGTCTTCTTCTAACAACGGCAATGTCGGAGAGAGTGGACAGCAGCATAATTGCCTCTCTCTGCTCATCTTTGTCTCCAAACAATGACTTCACCAGTGTGGACAAGAATCTTATGTCCCCCATCTTTCCCTGCATTGATCTCACTCTTTAGGGATAAACATTTCCCAACCAACTTAATAAGAATCGTTTAGAATTTTAACTATGGGATAAACATGTCCTGCTGTCCTAGAACGAACTTGCCTTGATGTCATTGTTCTGATCGACGAGCCTTCTCAGTGTGTGAATTATGTTCGATCTGTTGTTTGACGTACTTGAATTCAACCGGTTGAATAGAATCGGGATAATCTCTTCTTCTTCTTCTTTTGCAACATTACTTTCGGTGATCAACAAATTCAACCCAAAAAGCGCCTGCTCAAGCTCTTCATCGTTGCCATATTTGAGCCGCAGCACGAGACTGCAAACATCTAGCAATGTCTTGTCATCATCCTCTTCTACAAATTCAGCCGGAGACAGGTGAAGGTCGTAATAGAACTCCGAGAATTTCTCCGATCTGGAATTAGACCGGAAACTCAAAATCTCATTCCTCAAATCCTCAGCCTCGGATTTCTTGGCCATTTGAACGCCATGGCTGGCAAACAGAACAAACCCTAGAGACCTCTCCAGATTCTCCGTCAGCTCGTCCAGAAGCTTCTGTGGCAGTGAATGTCCATTGCTCAAGCTTTCCGACAACACCTTTGCGCTCATATACTCGGCTTCCAGTGACTGAATTGCCTCCTGGATTGTCGGATCACCGACCAGACCCTTGTCATCCTTCATTTTAGTGAGGATTGGGGTAAGTTTCTCAATGAAAACCTGGAAAATTAATGAAACATCACCGGCCCCGGTTGATTCGGAGCTCGCATCTTCATCAATTGATGGCGATTGATGGCCAGATTCCGAGGAAACCTCGGAATCTAGTTTGCTATCAAAATCCATACTCTAACAACACAGACAATTATGCAGAAAGAGGCCTGGGACTGCAATAAGAACTTTAAAAGCTTGAAGATAAGGAAATGTTCTTGCGCCTTTAGATGAATATATATAGATATATAAACATAGACGAAAAACAAAACTGTAATAATAACTGATTGACCAGATCTTTATTGACTGTGTTTCTTCTTTAGAAGGGATTTGAGTCTAAAGATATGACAAGACATCATCTTCCCATTCCCTTTTTCTTTTTTTGGTGCGAAAATTGAAAAGTATTGGAGAGCATTTCCCCCTTTTTCTTTTTACCTTTTTCTTTTTTTATCCCTTTCACATTCATCTTCCGTGTTTGAGATCGAAACCCTAACCGCCACCGCCGCAGGCCCCGCCGGAGACAGCAGCCGATCACTGCCATTTCCTCGCCGCCCAGACAGCTTCCCCTGATAGCGAGGGACCGGAGAGGGAGGGAACTGAAGGGGTTTAGATTTCTCATTATCCAAAAATTTCTAATTTTTATTTTTTTTAATTCCAAACAAATTAAATTTATTATCTTTATGAATCAAAAAAATTTATTATTTTCATTAAAACTAAGAGTATTTTTGTACGGAAAAATTAGAATTTTAACACGTAGCACGCATCGTGATTTTTTTTATAATTTGTACGAAGTGATTGTTATTCATTGGTATTTTAATTTGTCTCACTTTATGAAAAAAAATATTATTACCCCGTCCCCCTCAGCCCTCACTCATTAAAAAAATGATTCTTTTCTCTTATATTATTAAAAGTATAAAATATAGATTAGCCATATTATGACAAAAAACGTGTAAAACATATCTAAGATATAATATTTTTTCTTTCCACAATCATGTTTTTCACGATATGGACGTTTCTCTCTTTATGATTGCGTACATCGAAAAAAGAGGAACGGAGTCCTCTTTTATTCAAACATGCATACATAGAGTGATTTCATATACAATACAAATTTAAATGTTAAGTTTTCCATACATATAAAATATAGGTACAATATTTTGATTAAAACAGTAAATCAAATTATTAAGAGAAAATGCAAGAGTCAAAACAGATCTTGTTTTTAATACATTTGATCTAAATATTTGGTCATTCCAAAGAATAATGATATCGCCTTTTATTTTATAGAATTTTAATGTATGGATTAAAATATATATTTTTATTTTATGTCAGTGTTTATCTTAATATATAATAAACACCAATTTTATTTAAGCATGTCATAAACAAATATGAAAGTTATGTAGATGTAAAGAGAGTATCTTATGTATTCATTTAATGTATTATTATAAATGAAGTAAAAATATAAAAAGTAGGAAATAATATTCTCATAAAAACGAAGAAATTAATCCCACTATTAAACTTAGTCAAATCATAAACACTTTTGGGTAACTTGTTTTTAAATAATCTCACATTTCGACGATCTTCTAAAAATAATGTCATTTTCTAATGTTATATCCTAAAAATTACAACTTTATTTTCAAACTGTTACACATGTAGGAAAAAAGTTGACAGAATGATAAGTTGGAAATTGTTTGATTTTGTTATTTATCCAAAATAATCACATCTTTTGTAAAATTATGCAAAACAATGCTGCCTTCTACTGAGTTGTGTAAAATAATCTTACTTTTTAACTTTTCTTTTAAAGTTTCTTCCTAAATCCATTTTTATCGATACAATTATATTAATAATTAAATTGAACACCACTACAGTGTGATGCAAATAACTTTTAATATACCACAAAAAAAGACAGAAATATTTTCGTTTGTTTTAATTAAAATAAATAAAATATAAAGTAAACTAATTTTGACTTTGTAAGTTAACTAGTTTATTTTGCATTTTATTGATATTAGTGTTAAAACGAGTTATTTTGTACTAGGTATCTATTTAATTTTGACTAAAATAAAAAGTGACTCCACCTTTTTGTGGTATACCAAAAAAATAATTGCACCAAAGTTTTAGTTGAGCTATTTTGTAGTCTTTAATTAAATTGATATAAACTTTTCTTGATTAACATTTATATATATATTAATAACGATGGACTTATGCAAAACATAAAAAAGAAGTTTAAAATCAGATCATTATATGCAATTCAATAGAAGGTGATACTCCGTATTATTTTGCACAACTTCACAAAAGGTTAGATTATTTTGGGTAAATAGCAAAAAATGAATTTTCAACTCATTAATCCATTAACTTTTCCGTTAAGAGGATCATGAGCTTGTTTGGAAATAACGTTAGCCTTTAGAGAATGCTATTTATGGCCAAAATTAGCGTTTTCAAAGTAATTTTCACCGTTAAAATTTTATTTAAAATATTAATGTTGATCTCTAGTGATATTTCCAAAGAGACCTTATGTCACATGCCTACATAACAAATGTCTCCATCGTACTACCGGAAAACAAGATTATTTCACTTGTCATTATTGCAAAAAGGTAAAATAAATTATTTGAGATAATTTCACATTGATTTTGATTCTTCACAAACAAAAATTGTCTCTAAAATCATTTGGGGAGTATAATAAAAAAGCATGGCGGATTGAGTATAAAAGCATACATTAGGGGTGGCAATGTAATATTGAAGAAGTGGGAATCGGCCGGAACCAATGAGAACCCAGCAATAGATCTGGCGCCTCCAGCCACAAAGTCAGACACGTTCATTACACGTGGCAGTATGGCTGGCCACAAACTTCAAAGCCCCCAACTCTTCACGTGGACTCGGGCCCCACTCCCACCACCCACTACCCGCGCCCGCCTCCCCCCTCCGTCTCTCTCGCTCTCTCTCTCTTCGCCCCGTATCTAAGGTCTGAGGCGAAATTCCGGCGAGGTTATCGGGAAAACCATCGCGCCTTAATCATCTGCTGCAATATTCTCGGAAGATCGCTTCAGGCGACCGGATTCGTCTCCGGAGTGACCCGAGCAGAGACGATTTGGCGATGTTCAGGCTAAATCTGGAGCGTTACGTCGGAGACTGTAGCTTTGGAATCGGAACATCGTTTCTCTTTTTATCTTTCAGCTATGTTTGATTGGGACGACGAGGAGGTTATCTCTCTATCTCTCTTTCTCTTCTTTTCCATTTTACTCGTGCAGAAATCCGGATTCGTTTCCATTTGGTTCATACGAAGGTGAAATTTGGGAAAATCGAAGTTTAGCTCCTCAATGGTTCACTCACCAAGAGGAGATTTTTTAACCTGAATGTTATTTGTCACTTCTAAAAGGACCAGAACTTCTCTGTTTTACTTGATTCTGCAATAGTTAAGACTTTTGTTGAAGGTCCACAAGTGTTCAAATCTCTAGTATCTTCTGATTTTGGTGATATGAATCCAATTTCTGGTTCGACTTTCAAGATTATGGAAGAGGGACATGGAAGTGGAGAGGATACTGGTTTACTATTCTGGAGCTCAAATCTCTAGTATATACTGTTCTACTGTTCTAACTAGTGATTTGGACTGTCGGTTCTATCAATCTGCTTTGTGTTTACCACCTGATATTTAGTGGGAAACTTATGCTCAGGATGTAACAATCCTTCTTTTTTTTGTTTTATTCAGTTATCGGATATAATATGGGGCGAGACTGGGGGAGATAATGATCATTTGGTTCCATATCCAGTTGAAAATGATGCGAAACCTCCTGCGTCACATGGGGATAGTGTTGTAGAGGAATGGAATATTGAATCTTTAAGGGTTAAGCCCGGCCACCAGAAGAAACTTGACACCAAAAGTGACTCACATATTAGGTTAGAAAGCAGTTCCAAACATGCTGCAGATGAAGCCCGTCCTGCAGTGGCTTTGAGTATGGATTCATGGTCTGGCCTTTCCTCATGCACCGAACCATCAAAAAATTCAACAGAAATTTCAAAACATGAAGGTGCAACCTCTTTCTTCCTCATTAAGTTAACACTTACAAAAGATTCATCTTGTTTTTCATGTTTTTTAGCAGACGGGTCTATTCAACAAGGAACCAATTCTAAGTTTTTTCAGAAGCAGCAAGAGGATGGGGAGCAAAGTGACTTTGTTGATTATGACTGGGATAGCATCAGAAGTTTTGATGACCTCGATAAGATCTTTTGGTAAAAAAGAGCTCTAAATACAAAATGTTATTATAAGCTGTTACATAAAACAGTAAATTTAATGTTTGTTGGTGTGTGTGTGAGTCCAGCATGCTTGATCCTAATCAACTCGAAAGAAATAATTTCTTCATATATACTGTAGGAAACTCATCTGCCTCTGTTGCATGGTCACTAAAGACCTTTAACGTTTCTTCTTCTTCTTGTTGTTGTTGTTGTGTGTGTGTGTGTGGGGGGGGGGGGCTGTTAGCATCGATGGTCTCAGCCTGACCTAATATTCTCATAACTGATACTCCATATTTTACAGCAATGACGATCCAATATTTGGGCATGCAACCCTTCCCAACACTGATGAGCTCTGGTCTTCTACCAAGGATCTACCAAGTAGTCCAGAGAAGCATTTTCCCATGTCTATCGAGTCCCCAAATTTGGGGTTAGGAGAACTGAGAAGCACAATAGAAAACTTTGAGACTGAAGAAGAGTACATACTAGACCAATACCAGCCATTCTCCAGAGCTTATGATGAAGTGAATAATATCGCGCCAAATGTTTCAGAGATGATACCCACATATGACGGAGACAAAGAAATTCCCGTCGTGAAGCAACAGGTGAAGGCAAAAAATTCTTGGTTTTCTGTTTGCAAGTTTCTAAAGCTTATTGTTATCGGTAAGGTTCCCATGACATTGAACTAATTGAGGCACCCACGGTGCCCGGTTTGTAAAATTGATGGTTCCTACCCCCCAGAAAATCCCCTCCACCCCGATATGACCCGAACCCACCCCCACTCCCTTCAATTGCACCCCCAAACTTAGTTGACTTTGGGGTGCAATTGAAGGGGGTGATGGTGGGTTCGGGTTGGGCCGGGGTGGGGGTGGGGGTGGGGGGTTACCAGGGGGTTATGGGTAGGAATAATCAATTTTACAAACGGGTGATTCAATTGGAGCCAATGTCATGGGAACCAGAGTTGGCGGAGTGCCTTTTTATTGGGTTGTGATTTTACACTCATTCATTAGAAATAAGTTTTTACCAAGAATTGACTCTTGTGCTTGTGTTGGTTTTGATAGACAGCTTTGGAGTTAGGGGGAGAAGTCCCAGCATTCAGTTTGCAGCTTGACACTAGAGTTATTGGAACACCTAATCAACCCACGGGAAAGGTATTCTTCTTTCCCTTCCACTTTGCCACTGAGATTCAGCTAGTATGTTTAGTGACTTTTATTGATAGAAACTGTGGACTTTCTTTCACTCTTCCATTTGGTTATTACAAACTTTGGACTTTCTTTCACTCTTCCCTTTGATTGTGTGCTTTAAATTCCAAACCTTGCAAAAGATGACTACAGGGAAGAAAAGTTCTGCGTTGCAGATCTAATTAGTTCAGTGACCTTATTTCTAAACCTACAGACATGTTTCAGTTTTTATGCTTACTGTTGTTATAAATCTACTTTTTTATTGTTGTAAATCTAAGTTTGTCCACTTCTGAAGTGGATCTTTCCCCCCATGATGGTATCTGTCAGTGCACAGTTATTTGGGTTCTCTCTAATCACGCTACATTACCTACAGACAGTTGAAGCAATCCCAGTTTAGGGACTGCTTGATAAACAACATTTTATATTAGCATTATCCTTTTTTATGCATTATCACCAAAAAGAGCCTTTTTGAAAGGTCAAAATGCTATTTGAGGCGTTTGGTGAAGTGGCCTTTTGAATAAGTAGTATGCTCAACACATTGTTAATTTGAAAATTCTGATTGGATTGTATTTTGTGAAACAACATTTGAACTTAACATGTTAGTTTTAGCCTTTTTAGCATTCTGCTAAGTTACTAAAATTCTAATAAGCTAGTAACTTGTAACTGCTTCAAATATGCTAATACAAACTTTGACTGGCACATGCTAACCACAGGATCTGTGTGGATCGTGGACAACATCAATCAAAGAACTCAATAGCCAATATGCATCCGTGAACCAGCAATGCCCGTCGGTTGTCCTTTCTCAGCCAAACCATCTTCAAGGTCCACAATCTTTGCAATACAATCAAAATCTAAGCTCTCCTACATTGGCTTCTCATGTGCCTGGAGATTTTGCTAATCAGTACCATATGACTTTTACACCATTCAATGCTGGTCCCACACTAAAAAGTGTGACAATGACGCCCCGGGAGAAGATTGAAAAATTAAGGAGGCGACAACAAATGAGAGCCATGATTGCTATCCAACGGAAGCAACAAGAGTTCAGCGACCAACCCTTATCTACAAACCATTCTATGGAAGTTGAAGGTAGTTTTGGCCCTCTCTCTTCTGTTGTTGACCCAAACTCGCCTTCAGAACAGAATGGTGGTTCTAGTACAGCTGGCGTTGTGGTTGAAGATCATTCCGGGGAAGAATCTGTACTTAATCGGCTTCAGGAAATCATCTCAAAGGTTGTAAGATATTACTAGAAAGTTCATCTATAGCCTCTTCGTTACAACGAAGCACCCACACATTACTTAACCAAAAATGTGTTTCTTCATCAGCTTGATATACGAATTAGACTCTGCATCCGAGACAGTTTGTTTCGCCTGGCTCGAAGTGCAGATCAAAGACAACACACTGATAATGACACAAACAGCACAAACAAGGGTATTCAAGAATTTGTGGTCAAGCAGGAAGAATTAAACAGTAACAACAGGTTAGTGATACAATGCTTATTTATATTCTATTGTGAAAAAAGGAAGGAAATCCATAAAGGTCTGTTTGGAGCCGGGGAAAAAGTGAAGAATGAAAAGGTCTATTATGTACGCAAACCTTACTCTACCTACAAGGTAGAGAGACCGTTTCAAACTTATAATGAAATTTTGGCGAATAAGTCAAAAATAAGAAAAAACAACCCAGCAGAGTCCCACTAAAGTACAGTATGTGTAGGGGTAGGGTGTGTACGCAAACCATACCCCTACGGTATTTGTTTATTTCAATTACTCTCTCTATCCCAATATAAACTTCTCATTTTTCTTTTAGTTTTGTCCCAAAATAAATTTTGATTCCTTTTAAAGTAAGTATTGAGTAGTTCACATTATTTCTCTCTCCTATGCATAAATTTCAACACAAATTTTACTTTTTTAAAACTCTTTGAAAGTCAAAGCGAGAAGTTTAATTTGGGAGGGAAGGAGTATTCTTTAGGGAAAATGAAATGTGATCATATGTAATTCAAAAAAACATTAATTACATATGCTTTATTTTACTTCGCATATTTAGGATGAAACCAAACAAAAGAATATAACTTTCTTTAGCTTCCCCCCCCCCCCTTTTTCCTAGCATTTTCCAGGATGAATGCATACCACTGGGAAAGAATTTTTCTTGTTTGGTTAAAGAGGAAAAGAAAGGAAAAATGGAACGAAAAGAAAATGAGTAGGCAAAATGTAGTAAGAGGAAGGAAAACCAAATTCCTCCTATTTTGGTGAGGAAAACGAGAGAAAATCATTTTCTTTTATTTTCCTTCCACATTCATTGAACCAGTGTTAGAGTGAAGAGAAATTGCCATTTTTTGTTGTATGCAGTAATTACAAGATTGCTAGATTGCCAAATGTAGAGGCTGAAACTAATCCAATAGACCGCACCGTTGCCCATTTGCTATTCCATCAACCCATGGATGTCTTGTCAACAAAAGCTGCAGAATTGCCTCAGCCCCACCCTCCAGATAAGCTCTACTATGATAATGAATCCAAGAGGAGCCTGCCCCACAGCCATCTTGTTACATCTCATGGCTTAAAAGCTCCTAGAGCTCATGCAGAAGGGGAGCAACCCCAACACAACCCTTGTTTGGAGTCTTGTTCTGAGAATGCAACCAAAAGTGAGGCAGCAGATAGTGGGGTAATGGCGGTCGGCCCCCCTTCAAAATGAATCAAATGGGAGACAAGGGTAATTCTGTCCTTTTATCATTTATTAATACCAAAGGGTATGCATGCTTATCTTTGGCCTGACTAAGTATTAAGTAACATTGAGCTATCTTTCCTTTTCCAGCCAACTCGATTCGTGCCTTCAAGAAGTGACCTTTGTAATGTTGAAGGTACAGATGAACTTCATGTGATTGATGCCTGTCTTTTGTATCTCTACTCTTCATTCAAAGACGTGTTAAGAACCACACCCTCGCCTTCCTCCCCATTCACGGATCCAGTATATTTTTAGTTTAGCAACAATAGGAAGTGTAGCATTAGGCTTCTCTGGGGCTCAGCGGTTTTGCCTTTTCTGCATTATTATGCATGTATTTTAGTTTTTGAATTAGCTCCCTTCTTTCTTGAATAAGTGTGGCTTAATAAAAATTGTTCCCAATTAAGTCACTTTCATTATTAATATATATCAGTGCTCAATCTTACACAATAATCGTTATTCAATGTTCAACTGTGTTCGCTTTGTTTAGTGTTTCAGTTGCTTTTTTTCTTCACACTATAGACTTACATTGGATTCTGAATTTTTAACCACATTGTCTAATCAAATGCAGACCAAGTCCCATGAAGTTCATGTTGCTAAGGGCGTGTTCTTGTGTACTGAGCTAAGTGCTGTATATTTGAATAGACTAGTTAACTACACGTCCTGGATTTAAACAAGTTGAAAAAAATAGCTCAATGGGAATGATGCACGAAGGCCTGGTTGGCCTCCCTGAACATGCCGACAACGACCAACCATAGTCATAATTATCAAGTTCTTGATTTTCTGGCTAAACATCATAGTTATATTCATGTTTTTTGGGGGGGTTGGGGGGGGGAGTAAATTATTAATACTCCTTCGTCCCATAATTATATTCATATTTTTCTATTTGGGTTGTCTCAATTTTTTTATTTTCTTTTTTAAGGAAAAGATTGTATAGTTCGTATTATTTCTTTTTCTTTTGCACAAAACACAACTACAAAAGTTCTATGTTATTAAAAATTGTGTCAATTACACACAAGAAGATAATTATGGGACAGATGGCGTAGTTGTTGTGGGGAGAAGCAACAAGTAAGATACAACACCTACAAGGATCAACTTCAAGACAACCAACCAAACACTTGACCCAATTTACCACAATTGATTAACCAAGCACACAAAATCAGCAGCACATCAAATAAACCACAATCAAATATGAAGAATAAAGATGCAAACGACACACGATTTTTATACGTGGAAAACCCCTTCGATGTGAAGGATAAAAACCACGGGACTTATAGGGAGTCCGCCCTCTTCTTCTCTTATTATGCAAATTGAGGGTAAAAACACNATTGGGTCAAGTGTTTGGTTGGTTGTCTTGAAGTTGATCCTTGTAGGTGTTGTATCTTACTTGTTGCTTCTCCCCACAACAACTACGCCATCTGTCCCATAATTATCTTCTTGTGTGTAATTGACACAATTTTTAATAACATAGAACTTTTGTAGTTGTGTTTTGTGCAAAAGAAAAAGAAATAATACGAACTATACAATCTTTTCCTTAAAAAAGAAAATAAAAAAATTGAGACAACCCAAATAGAAAAATATGAATATAATTATGGGACGAAGGAGTATTAATAATTTACTCCCCCCCCCAACCCCCCCAAAAAACATGAATATAACTATGATGTTTAGCCAGAAAATCAAGAACTTGATAATTATGACTATGGTTGGTCGTTGTCGGCATGTTCAGGGAGGCCAACCAGGCCTTCGTGCATCATTCCCATTGAGCTATTTTTTTCAACTTGTTTAAATCCAGGACGTGTAGTTAACTAGTCTATTCAAATATACAGCACTTAGCTCAGTACACAAGAACACGCCCTTAGCAACATGAACTTCATGGGACTTGGTCTGCATTTGATTAGACAATGTGGTTAAAAATTCAGAATCCAATGTAAGTCTATAGTGTGAAGAAAAAAAGCAACTGAAACACTAAACAAAGCGAACACAGTTGAACATTGAATAACGATTATTGTGTAAGATTGAGCACTGATATATATTAATAATGAAAGTGACTTAATTGGGAACAATTTTTATTAAGCCACACTTATTCAAGAAAGAAGGGAGCTAATTCAAAAACTAAAATACATGCATAATAATGCAGAAAAGGCAAAACCGCTGAGCCCCAGAGAAGCCTAATGCTACACTTCCTATTGTTGCTAAACTAAAAATATACTGGATCCGTGAATGGGGAGGAAGGCGAGGGTGTGGTTCTTAACACGTCTTTGAATGAAGAGTAGAGATACAAAAGACAGGCATCAATCACATGAAGTTCATCTGTACCTTCAACATTACAAAGGTCACTTCTTGAAGGCACGAATCGAGTTGGCTGGAAAAGGAAAGATAGCTCAATGTTACTTAATACTTAGTCAGGCCAAAGATAAGCATGCATACCCTTTGGTATTAATAAATGATAAAAGGACAGAATTACCCTTGTCTCCCATTTGATTCATTTTGAAGGGGGGCCGACCGCCATTACCCCACTATCTGCTGCCTCACTTTTGGTTGCATTCTCAGAACAAGACTCCAAACAAGGGTTGTGTTGGGGTTGCTCCCCTTCTGCATGAGCTCTAGGAGCTTTTAAGCCATGAGATGTAACAAGATGGCTGTGGGGCAGGCTCCTCTTGGATTCATTATCATAGTAGAGCTTATCTGGAGGGTGGGGCTGAGGCAATTCTGCAGCTTTTGTTGACAAGACATCCATGGGTTGATGGAATAGCAAATGGGCAACGGTGCGGTCTATTGGATTAGTTTCAGCCTCTACATTTGGCAATCTAGCAATCTTGTAATTACTGCATACAACAAAAAATGGCAATTTCTCTTCACTCTAACACTGGTTCAATGAATGTGGAAGGAAAATAAAAGAAAATGATTTTCTCTCGTTTTCCTCACCAAAATAGGAGGAATTTGGTTTTCCTTCCTCTTACTACATTTTGCCTACTCATTTTCTTTTCGTTCCATTTTTCCTTTCTTTTCCTCTTTAACCAAACAAGAAAAATTCTTTCCCAGTGGTATGCATTCATCCTGGAAAATGCTAGGAAAAAGGGGGGGGGGGGAAGCTAAAGAAAGTTATATTCTTTTGTTTGGTTTCATCCTAAATATGCGAAGTAAAATAAAGCATATGTAATTAATGTTTTTTTGAATTACATATGATCACATTTCATTTTCCCTAAAGAATACTCCTTCCCTCCCAAATTAAACTTCTCGCTTTGACTTTCAAAGAGTTTTAAAAAAGTAAAATTTGTGTTGAAATTTATGCATAGGAGAGAGAAATAATGTGAACTACTCAATACTTACTTTAAAAGGAATCAAAATTTATTTTGGGACAAAACTAAAAGAAAAATGAGAAGTTTATATTGGGATAGAGAGAGTAATTGAAATAAACAAATACCGTAGGGGTATGGTTTGCGTACACACCCTACCCCTACACATACTGTACTTTAGTGGGACTCTGCTGGGTTGTTTTTTCTTATTTTTGACTTATTCGCCAAAATTTCATTATAAGTTTGAAACGGTCTCTCTACCTTGTAGGTAGAGTAAGGTTTGCGTACATAATAGACCTTTTCATTCTTCACTTTTTCCCCGGCTCCAAACAGACCTTTATGGATTTCCTTCCTTTTTTCACAATAGAATATAAATAAGCATTGTATCACTAACCTGTTGTTACTGTTTAATTCTTCCTGCTTGACCACAAATTCTTGAATACCCTTGTTTGTGCTGTTTGTGTCATTATCAGTGTGTTGTCTTTGATCTGCACTTCGAGCCAGGCGAAACAAACTGTCTCGGATGCAGAGTCTAATTCGTATATCAAGCTGATGAAGAAACACATTTTTGGTTAAGTAATGTGTGGGTGCTTCGTTGTAACGAAGAGGCTATAGATGAACTTTCTAGTAATATCTTACAACCTTTGAGATGATTTCCTGAAGCCGATTAAGTACAGATTCTTCCCCGGAATGATCTTCAACCACAACGCCAGCTGTACTAGAACCACCATTCTGTTCTGAAGGCGAGTTTGGGTCAACAACAGAAGAGAGAGGGCCAAAACTACCTTCAACTTCCATAGAATGGTTTGTAGATAAGGGTTGGTCGCTGAACTCTTGTTGCTTCCGTTGGATAGCAATCATGGCTCTCATTTGTTGTCGCCTCCTTAATTTTTCAATCTTCTCCCGGGGCGTCATTGTCACACTTTTTAGTGTGGGACCAGCATTGAATGGTGTAAAAGTCATATGGTACTGATTAGCAAAATCTCCAGGCACATGAGAAGCCAATGTAGGAGAGCTTAGATTTTGATTGTATTGCAAAGATTGTGGACCTTGAAGATGGTTTGGCTGAGAAAGGACAACCGACGGGCATTGCTGGTTCACGGATGCATATTGGCTATTGAGTTCTTTGATTGATGTTGTCCACGATCCACACAGATCCTGTGGTTAGCATGTGCCAGTCAAAGTTTGTATTAGCATATTTGAAGCAGTTACAAGTTACTAGCTTATTAGAATTTTAGTAACTTAGCAGAATGCTAAAAAGGCTAAAACTAACATGTTAAGTTCAAATGTTGTTTCACAAAATACAATCCAATCAGAATTTTCAAATTAACAATGTGTTGAGCATACTACTTATTCAAAAGGCCACTTCACCAAACGCCTCAAATAGCATTTTGACCTTTCAAAAAGGCTCTTTTTGGTGATAATGCATAAAAAAGGATAATGCTAATATAAAATGTTGTTTATCAAGCAGTCCCTAAACTGGGATTGCTTCAACTGTCTGTAGGTAATGTAGCGTGATTAGAGAGAACCCAAATAACTGTGCACTGACAGATACCATCATGGGGGGAAAGATCCACTTCAGAAGTGGACAAACTTAGATTTACAACAATAAAAAAGTAGATTTATAACAACAGTAAGCATAAAAACTGAAACATGTCTGTAGGTTTAGAAATAAGGTCACTGAACTAATTAGATCTGCAACGCAGAACTTTTCTTCCCTGTAGTCATCTTTTGCAAGGTTTGGAATTTAAAGCACACAATCAAAGGGAAGAGTGAAAGAAAGTCCAAAGTTTGTAATAACCAAATGGAAGAGTGAAAGAAAGTCCACAGTTTCTATCAATAAAAGTCACTAAACATACTAGCTGAATCTCAGTGGCAAAGTGGAAGGGAAAGAAGAATACCTTTCCCGTGGGTTGATTAGGTGTTCCAATAACTCTAGTGTCAAGCTGCAAACTGAATGCTGGGACTTCTCCCCCTAACTCCAAAGCTGTCTATCAAAACCAACACAAGCACAAGAGTCAATTCTTGGTAAAAACTTATTTCTAATGAATGAGTGTAAAATCACAACCCAATAAAAAGGCACTCCGCCAACTCTGGTTCCCATGACATTGGCTCCAATTGAATCACCCGTTTGTAAAATTGATTATTCCTACCCATAACCCCCTGGTAACCCCCCACCCCCACCCCCACCCCGGCCCAACCCGAACCCACCATCACCCCCTTCAATTGCACCCCAAAGTCAACTAAGTTTGGGGGTGCAATTGAAGGGAGTGGGGGTGGGTTCGGGTCATATCGGGGTGGAGGGGATTTTCTGGGGGGTAGGAACCATCAATTTTACAAACCGGGCACCGTGGGTGCCTCAATTAGTTCAATGTCATGGGAACCTTACCGATAACAATAAGCTTTAGAAACTTGCAAACAGAAAACCAAGAATTTTTTGCCTTCACCTGTTGCTTCACGACGGGAATTTCTTTGTCTCCGTCATATGTGGGTATCATCTCTGAAACATTTGGCGCGATATTATTCACTTCATCATAAGCTCTGGAGAATGGCTGGTATTGGTCTAGTATGTACTCTTCTTCAGTCTCAAAGTTTTCTATTGTGCTTCTCAGTTCTCCTAACCCCAAATTTGGGGACTCGATAGACATGGGAAAATGCTTCTCTGGACTACTTGGTAGATCCTTGGTAGAAGACCAGAGCTCATCAGTGTTGGGAAGGGTTGCATGCCCAAATATTGGATCGTCATTGCTGTAAAATATGGAGTATCAGTTATGAGAATATTAGGTCAGGCTGAGACCATCGATGCTAACAGCCCCCCCCCCCCACACACACACACACAACAACAACAACAAGAAGAAGAAGAAACGTTAAAGGTCTTTAGTGACCATGCAACAGAGGCAGATGAGTTTCCTACAGTATATATGAAGAAATTATTTCTTTCGAGTTGATTAGGATCAAGCATGCTGGACTCACACACACACCAACAAACATTAAATTTACTGTTTTATGTAACAGCTTATAATAACATTTTGTATTTAGAGCTCTTTTT